ATTTGTATAAATTATATTTTCAGAGATTTTTTTTGAAATTTTTTTTTTTATTTTCATCTATTCTGTAAATTCCATAATTTATTCATTATTATTTATTTATTGTTAGCACGCAAAATTCTTAATTTTAAGACTTCTTTTTATTTTTAGACTCAAATTTAAGCTTTTTAAGTACTTTTGTATAGGTTTTTAAAAAATAATGTCTATTAAGCAATCTCAAGCAGTCTATACACTTACACAGAAAGTAATACCCTCTAAAATTGGCTTCAAAATATTTTTAATTTTTCCTAAGCTAAGCTCAGCTTACACTCTTTATATATACCCAGTAAAATTGCCTCTCGAATACTCAAACATCCTTTTTACCTATTCCAAGCTCAGCCTAAGCTTTTAATATATACCCTGTAATGTTGGCTTTAGAATATTCCAACTAAATCTTGCTCTAAGCTTTTCTCTGACTTTCTACAAAATTTGTTAGCTGAAATACCCTGTAATATTTCCAATACCATACTAAATATTAATATATTCCCAGAGTATTGCTTCGTCGCGCATTTCCTTTAATTCTACACATTCTTTTTGTACCATTTCCAGAATTTATTATTATTAACGACTAGTTTATGGCTAACAGTTTGGCCGGCATTAATATTAATAACCAGTTCCCAAAACATTGTTGTTGGCGCCAAGGAAATCGTCACAGAGAGCAGAAGGAAAAGGCAGAAGTGTTGACATGTTGCCGTCAGGATCTACATGCCAAAGTCCTGTTCTACCTACAGAGGTGTGTGTGAGTGTGTATGTGTGTTTATGTATGCGAATAGTTTTAATGGGTTATTACCTACAGTTGCCTTCCGTTTCGTCCTGGCTAAGGAAATGCCATAAATGTCCTCTGGTCGTAAAAGGCGAAATGCAATTTCTGCACCTCCAGCCGCGCCCGAGGAGCCGCTGCACTTAAATTTATATTTTTTATGCGCTACCAAACCCTCGCAGCTCGAGTACGGAATGCGGAATATGGAACTAAAAAAGTGTCCTTGTTGTGACTGCTTCGTCGAGGGCTGCGTGTAAAATTATGATAAATGTGCATAAAATCGCATCGCAGGATAACAACCGCATGGCATATCCTGCTGGCTGCCATTGACTCTGTCTCTGTCCCTCTCTCTCTCTCTGTCTCTGTCTCTGTCTCAGTCTTGCGGCTGCATTTCGTCATTGTTTTGCGGTCGTAAAAAAGTGTGTCCTGCATTGGAATGAAAATTGCAAGGCGGCACGCACAGGACAATGCCAGGACACGGGCGACACTGCCAAATGGCGTTTTTGATTGCATTTTCTTTTAATTAAATTAGCTCGTCTTTTATGCGCTGCTCTGCTTTCTGTACCTCAAATTGTGAAACATGCCACTTAGAGGGAGTGTCCTTGCAATTTCTCAGCACTGCAATAAAAAAAAATGCCATAAATTACGTAATTTTACAATTTACAATTATCTGATTTGTGGCAGCAGAAAAAAAGAAAATAAAAACAAAGAGGAAACTAATACTGGACTAGCCTGAGCTATACGAACAGCTGCTGCTGTAATTATTTGCGGTTTCTTGTCTAATATATGTAGAAAAAATATTATATGTATATCTCATTTTTCAATCTGAAATTAAAATAGTTTATAGTTTACACTTTTATTGCAATATGTTTTTAAATTCAATACTCTTCTTGATAGATCTAAAAGCCCAACTCAAAAAGATCGATATATATCGATAGATAGCAAAAGATTTGTCGAGAAAACCAAGATAAGTTTATATGAGCTAAATAAGGTGTCCAAGAATATTCAATCTAATTTCAACGAACACCTTAGGTATCTATAATATATAAAACTAAACAAAAAATGAAATTTTTTATTTTTTATTTTTAAATTTATGTTACATCTGTTTTAGTTTGGTCTAGCTTCTAAAAAAAAAAAAAAAAAAAAATAAATAAAATAAAATAAATAAATAATAATAACTAAGAAGTCCAATGATTTCTTAGAAAGAAAAGAATATTAACTTTACATTACAACGGGTATACACGAATTTATTTTCCAAACTGGAACTCACTTTTCAGGGTCTTTGTTTCAGACGTACGAACCGACAGATAGATCAACTCAGTTCGCCATTCTTACATATCTATCTCTTCTTCTACTCTCTTTAGGAAAAACCTATGCACATGGAAAATTAAGCAAATTGATAAGAATTTTACAGGGTATTGGGTAATTAAAGCAATCGATTGCCTTGGCAATCGCAGCTAAGCATCTTAACTCTGTTATAAAGCCAATATCTTAAATGATTGCAGGCAGACGCCACGTAAATTAATCAAGTCCTAGGACTCCAAATAAACACTTGAGACTGCTCAGCTGCCCACCTGCCTAGCTACCTGCCTGACTGCTTGGCTGCTTACACGTATTTTCCATTTCCGTTCAAAGGACAAATAGGCCAAGACGCAGTTCTCGACCAAGGTCCAAGCTTCAAGCTCCAAGTTGCTGGGCATTTGCGGAAATTGCAAAATTTCTGCACCGTAATAAGATGAAATTAAGTTTGCACACAAAGCAAATAAGCAAAGGCCCCCACCTGAGACTGGACAAATATCGAAAGTCTTGTCCATCTACACACACACACACACACACACGCACATTCGCTCGGGCGGCAAATGAACCACTAATTGCGTGCCGAAATGCAATTTAGTGAACTTTGCCCCGTTCAAACGCCCAAAAGTAAACACAAACAGACGTCCAAGTGTGTGTGTGAGTGTGTGTGTGTGTGTGCTTGTAGCTGACCAAAGGCCTGCCTGCCACAATCAAATTGAAAATTAAGCAAAAGTCTTGAGCAGCGGCAAACAAAGCGTGGCTGCCACACGAATTTACATTGATAATGCCGCCCCAGCCTCACAGGCTTAAGCACGGATTTTAATCCTTTCAGCTCTTACTTTTCAGGTCGTTTTTTCTTTTTTTAATTTACCCTGTAATGCACTGCAAATGGGTGTATTGAGAGTTGGAGTCGATCAAGCCATGTACTCTGTCTGTCTGTCTTTCTGCCTGCCCTTCCTTATGTATTAAGTCATTTCATAAACTATTATTAGAGGTAACAATTTGCAGTTCGAATAATCGATTTTTGCCTAAGTAATCTATTTTCCGACAACTCATTCGATTTCCTAGTTATCGATCTGTACTTTTCTTTTGTGTCTGTCCTTCCTCTGTGCCTTCTTTATGTCTATATAAACAAATAAAGTTAATGGACTTGAAATTTAAATAATATATTATCTATTTTCCGATAACTTATTCAATTTCCAAGTTATCGATCTATATTATCCATTTGTCCGTCTGTCCTTCTTCTATGTCTGTTCTAGTTCTTAAGCAAATAAATTTAAAGACATGAAATTGTATTAATATATTCCTGTAGGCTTCAACTATTTTCCGATAACTCATTCAATTTCCCAATTATCGAGCTTCAATTGCGCTGTCTATCTGTCTGTATATAAACTATAGAACTAGAGACTTGAAACCCAATGAACGTATTTTCTATTCTCTGTTAACTCAGGTTTTTACTGTTTGGTATCACCGTATAGCTTTTCCTTTTCATTTCTTTTGCCAAGCTGTCGTTATTCTTGGATCCTTTGATCCTTTGAGTATTTCTATTTAGTATTTTCTGTACCATGAAGAGACTTTTTAAGTCTGTCACATTAAAAGAACTTCATGAATTGGCATGGCTCTTACGCATAACTAGATGTATAACTTTGATAACAATTGCTATTTATACATTAGAAGTACATTAAGAATATTAAAATATTTCTAATTTAAGATATTCAGAAATAGTGAAAAATATCTATATAGATATATGGAATTTAGCCACTAGTGTACCGAGAGTCTAGCAATGGCCCTAGCTTTGTATATAACATTAGGCAGTCCTTAAGTTACTTTGGAAATATACTTCTAGTGTTCTATATAGGGTATCTCCCAGTCGAGCACTACCGCCTGGTATTGCTAATGTTTTTTGTTGTTGCTTAGTGTTGACATTGATAAATTACTTGGCATTTGTTTAAAGCGTGATTTATCGCACCCCGTGTCCTTGCGCTTGGCGTCCCGTTGGATGCGTCGCATTGACACGTGTCCTGCCTTTTTGTCTGATTTTTAATTAAATGCAAACAGAAATGACCATTTGATAAGCCTTGCGCCGGTAGTTGGGGCCTTCGGGGCCCTCTGAGAGTGCTCGAACCAAAATTTGCCACACAGTTTTTCCACACTCATATTTAAAACGCATCCAACTGCATGTGGCATTAATTTTTATAGACTTGACTGCATTCATGAAAATTCATTGCCTTCGCCCTTCGGTGCATCCGGCTCCAATTGCAGCGCCATTGCCATCTCCACTGCGGTCCTTCATAGGCCGTTGCACTCCTGCGGCCCAACAATTTTCAACTTAATGATGTTGCCAAATGCATTGGCAAATATGTTGCACATGTTTCGCATGCTTCTCACGCAAACTCTTAGCCGGACATCAAATTTGCAATACAATGCACTTGCAATGCTCTGCCTGAAGTCATTCAATGTGGGAACTTTAATAAACAGGATCTTAAGGGGGCAAGGAATCACTGTAGGATACGTTTTACTATCGAAGTTTGACTGCATGTAATGATTGATGATGTTTGATGTGATTGGTGCTGATTGATTGACTGATTGACTGTATAACTAACATTGACTGAGTAACTGACCATGGCTGATGATTGATTGACTGATGATTATTGATTGAATGATAGGCTGATGATGATTAATGATTGACTGATAATGATTAATTGGCTAATGATGATTGACTGATTGGTGATGAATGATTGACTGATCATGATTAATTGGGTGATCATGATTGAATGACTGATGACGATTGATTGACTAACGATGATTGATTTACTTATGGTGATTGATTGATTGCTGATGAATGATTGGCTGATGATGATTGATAGATTAATTGGGTGAACATGATGGAATGACTGGTGGCGATTGATAGACTGACGATAACTGATGATTCTGATGATTGATTGATTGATAATGCTTGATTGACTTATAATGATTTATTGGCTGGTGATGATTGACTGACTGATGTTAATTTGACAGATGATAGTTCAGAGGCTGATGATGATTGACCAACTAATAATGATGATTATAATTGAGTGACCGATGTTGATTGACTGATTAACGCTCAACTGACTGTTGATGATTGATAATGATGGAGTGATTGATAATGGTAATTGACTAAATGGTCATCAACTAATAAATAATTCCAGTTTGGTCAATCATGAGCGATTCTTCAAGCAATCAATCATGACTGCCTTAGCTATATCTGTTATGCCATCTTCAAACTCTTACATAGCTATCAAACCCATAACTGATAATTGCATCGAAATGCCCTAAGCTAGAGTATTTATACTATTGACCGGTCGTTGCGGTCAGCTCCCCCATGCCCCGATCCCCCTCTGCCCATTCGACATTCCCCCCTATTTGCAATATGTTTATGTGTAATTTTCAAATAAAGGTTTAAATGTTTTTGGCAAACAATTGCAGGGACGCAACACCGTTGCCACACGAGCAACCCGCACCCAGAGTGCCTGTCTCAGTTCCGTTTCGCATTTTGAAGCGCTTCACTTATTTTGTTTATGGCTTTTTGCATATTTGCAAATGTGTTACATTGCGGTTATTTGTGCGTTCGATTTTGGTCATTGATATTGGCGGTGACCGGGCCCGGCTTTTGGTCTGGCTTTTATTTGGTTTTCTGTATTTTGTATTTGTTGCTGCCTCGCTGTTGTAGCTGTCGAAGCACTGTTGAGTGCTTGTAATCAACATGGTTGCGGTTGGGTCATTGCTTTTTCCATGATTATAATACTCTAACAGAAAGGTAAACTAATTTCCTCGGGCAAAAATGAAACAACTGCAATGGAATAAATGTGATCCACAATTGTACAAAGAGCGAAGCTTATGCTTCCATCTCTCTCTCACTCTTACTGCCTGCCTGCCSACAGGCCATAAGCGTATTCATTGTAGATCCTATTTCTCATTTGCACTCTAACTACAGCAAGAATGTCGCCTTGTGGATGCTAACTCATTTGCAAGTTCCACAGATGCTCTCTTTATGATCCCGCTATCCAAATAAGCTTTGTATGAGTGTGTCTCAGCCTCGAACTTATTAGTCTGCATTGCAAAGTGAGCCTCTAGAGCGTTGTATATTCTGTGTTTTCAGTGTGTTAGTGTCAGTGTCAGAGAATTTTCGATTTGCAGTCGGTGCGAGTGAGACAGACAATCAAGCTTGTATAAGTTTGCGCAGTTTTAATGCAGCCCACAATCATATGAATGAAATTAAGTCTACGCAGCAGAGTAATTGTGTGAGAATTTTAAAGGCTTTTGCTCTCTTCACGATCCCGTA